AGTTAGATGATAAACTCAAATAACTTAATTTGGAGAGTTTTGAAAAATGAGTTTCTGAAATCACTCCTTCCAAAGAATTCCAACCAAAACCAATAGTCTCCAGCTTGGACATCTGTCCAATACTTTTAGGTATTCTTCCACTTAAGTTATTGTCCTGGAGAAGCAAGTGTTTCAATGATAAGAAGTTCGTAAGATCAGGCAATGAACCCGAAATGTTATTGAAAGAGATATCCAAACTCTCCAATGTCTTTTGAGCGCATTTGGACAACGTTTCAACAAAGTCTGAAAGTTGTCCACTAAGACTATTAACCCCAAGGTCCAACTCTCGCAGCCTACATAACTTGGCAAAGGAATTCGGGATCCCTCCTTCAAGTTGGCTATCATAGAGACTAAGATGTGCAAGAGAGCTCATGTTTCCAAAAGATGCAGGAATTGAGGAACCATTGAAATTGTTATACGAGAGATCAAGATAAACAAGGTTGGTATGAGTACCGGACAACCATTGGAAGATTGAAGAGTTGAGATTGTTGAGGCCGAGATCGACATGAACAAGAGAGTTAGAAGAATTCATGAGAGAAACAGAGGATATAATTGGAGGAGGAAGTTTACAGCGCCATAATATCAAGTTTGTTAGTTTAGGAAGCATATTAACTGCTTCCAGCCAACCAACAATGTCACTGAGATTAGTGTAACTTAGGTCCAAGTGTTTCAGACCTGAAAGATTAGGGAGCCAATTGAGATTTTTTGCATGAATAGAGTTCACAGGGGGTGGTCGTATATCAGAAGATGAAGTAGAGCTGAGATTGAGATATTGCAAGTGTGTAAGGTTTCCAAGTTGGTTTGGAATTTGACCTCCAAAATTTGCATAAGAAAGATCGAGGTATATTAAATTGCTCAGAGATCCAATGAAATCTGGAATTTTGCTCCAACCGAAATTATTGAAACTAAGGTTCAAATACTCCAAATGCTGCAAGTGAACGAGTTTAGGACTAATCTTACCTTGCAAAGATTGGTCTCCAAGATCAAGTTTAACAACATGGCCAGTTTGGTTGCTGCTACAGTAGACTCCTTCCCATTGGCAACAATTTTTGTTTTGGGCTTCTCTTCCCCATGAAAGGAGGCGATCGCCGTCGTCACCCACGAGGCCTTGTTTGAGTGCAAGGAGTGCTTGCCTGTCCCTCTCGCTACATCCAATGCAAGGACTGCTCATGTGTAGTAAAACCACCACCAGAATTGCATAGAGGAGTTTGAAGCAGCACCTTGCTTCAACCATGTTAGCTACAGTCATGATCAAGACGAACAA